TTTCTGTTGAAACAAAATTTGGACAACTTAAGTTTATAGCTGCCTATTTGCCATTTCAATGCATAGGCCAGCAAAAGAATTTTCTCAAGGGTGACCTTCAGAAACTTACCCGTCATAGGTCTAAATTCTTCATTATTGGTGATTTTAATGCAAAACACCGCTTATGGAATAATGCTCAAAGCAATTCCAATTGTAATATTCTGTTTGATGATTGTTCTGCAGGTTATTACACTATTCAATATCCAAACAGCCCAACATGCTTTTCTTCAGTAAGAAATCCCTCAACTATTGATTTGGTCTTAACTGATTCATGTCAACTTTGTAGCCAACTGGTTACCCATGCTGACTTCGGTTCTGATCACCTTCCAGTAACTTTTGAAATATCCCAAGAAATAATTTGTAATTCCAACAGCTCTACTTTCAATTACCATACAGCTGATTGGGAGCAATATCGAACATTTATGGAATATAACTTCGATCCAAACATTTCTTTGCAAACCAAAGATGAAATTAATTATGCTCTTGAATCTCTGACTACTTCTATAGTTGAAGCAAGAGCTGCCTTAGTACCAAAATGCGAGGTTAAATTCGATTCAATTATAATAGACGACGATCTTCAGCTCTTGATCCGTCTTAAAAATGTCCGTAGGAGACAATATCATAGAACCCCTAGTAGCACGCTTGTCATAAATCAATTGTAGAAACTTATATACGACTTATTTCAGTCATAAACAAGGTGCTGTAACTTATTGTGAGGAAAGTTTGCTACTCGGGACACGCGATCCTGCCATGAAAGTTATCTGGCGGGATTTGCAAAAACAAATTAAAAAGCCATTCTCTGCCCTGAGGAACAAAACTTTTGAAAATACTGTTTTTAATATAGACCAGAGTTCAAAACCCCTTTTTGAAACTCACAAAAATTTTGAAAAACCTCAAAAGCCTATTCCAGCGTTTTAAGAAAGTGGTAAAATTTTGATTACAAATTTGGAAAAAGTTCAGAAACTTGCTAAGCAATTCGAGAGTTCCCATAATTTCAGTTTGGGTCTTACTAGTCCTATAGAGAATCAGGTTGCTCGGGATTATCTGAATATTTTCTCCCGGGAAAATATTTTTGATGATTCCTGGGGGAATGATTTGGACGAAGTAAGGTCTATAGCTAAAAAGTTTCATAATATGAAAGCTCCAGGTGGTGATGGAATTTTCTATATCCTCATAAAAAAAAACTCCCAGAGAGTACCTTGTTTTTCTTGGTAAAAATACTTAACAGATGTTTCCATTTGACATACGTTCCTGATTAATTGAAAAATTACAAAAGTTGTTCCAATTTTGAAGTCGGATAAAAATCCAGTTGAAGCTTCTAGCTACCGTCCAATAAGTTTGGTTTCTTCAATAAGTAAGCTTTTTGAAAATATAATTTTAAACAGAATGATGCTTCACATCAATACGAACTCAATTTTGCAGATGAGCAGTTTGGATTTCACCATGGGCATTCAACTACTCATCAACTCTTAAGAGTTGCCAATTTAATTCGTTCAAACAAATCTGAAGGCCACTCAACTGGAGTTGCTCGTCTAGACATAGAAAAAGAATTCGACAGTGTTTGGCATGAAGGTTTGATTGCTAAATTGAAAAAGTTTAATTTTCCACTTTATATTATCAAATTAGTTCAATATTATTTACCTGACAGAACTCGGCAGGTAAATTATCAAAATTCCAAATCTAATCGACTACTTGTTAGAGTAGGAGTTCTTCAGGATAGCATTCTTGGGCCTATATTGTATAACATTTTCACTTCGGACATCCCTGATTTTCCTCAGGACTGCCACAAATCTTTGGTCGCTATTTGTTCGCACAAATCTGATGTTCGATGACAGGCATTTCCGCTAAAGAAAGAAATCTTCGTATTATTTGCAGCAGACTGCAGAAAAGTTTAGATATTTTCTCTTCTTATTTACAAAAATGGAAGATTTTTCCCAACGCTTCCAAAACTCAACTTATAATATTTCCACATAATTCTAGAGCTTCACTTTTGAAACCTAGTAGTAGTCACATAGTCACTATGAACGGAGTTCCAGTTTCCTGGTCAAACCAAGTGAAATATCATGGATTAGTAATTGACCAAATATTAACTTTTAAAGATCTCATTGAGGGCATTCAAGCCAAATGTAACGAATATATAAAATGTTTGTATTCTCTTATAAACAGGAAATCCAAACTTTGCCTGACGAATAAACTTATAATATTTGAACAAGTTTTTATGACCCACCATGCTTTACGCTGTGCCAATAAGGTCTAGTTGTTGCACTACCAGGAAAAAAGCACTTCAAAGGATTCAGAACAAAGTTCTGAAGATGATGTTGAAGTTGCCTCCCTGGTATAATTAATGGTTTCAGGCAAAAATCGTTGCAATCCTCAATTGCAATGATTAATTCCCTTTATACTTAGATAAGATTTAGTGTTAGTTTTTAGTTTTAAGATGTAAATTGTTATACAGACACGCAGGTATAAAAAACCTGTTCAAAGTACTGAATTGCCAAGGCAGGAACAATGTAAAAACACTTAGATATATACCATAACAATTAAGGTTGGTAAGTTACTGTAGTAACTGGAGCACATAGGTTAAAATGAAATGTAATTTATTTTGAATTTGGAACAAATAAAGAGTTAAAAAAAAAAGAAACGGCTATGTGCTCATGTTATTAACGAAAGAGAAAGTTGACGAAGAGAATCGATCGATGTTACTTATGACCAGCTGGAAATGCTTTTACACGGCCGATCCAAAGATAATTGATCAGAAAAAGTTGAGCGAGATTGAAAATAGCAAAAGGAATAGAGCGATGAGATGTTTTTGCAATCGGAAATGATGTGTGGAAAAACCAGCTTTTGATTGTTTTCAGAAAAAGCTTCCATAGTAAATTGAACCTTAAACCTAGCAATTATAAATAAAACTTTTTATCGAGGTTGTAGAGTAACAAATCAAACTGAACAATACATTTCATGTTTAGTAACATTAACTGATTCTGTTCGTCGACTTTCTGTTTACATCCTCATCTCTTCGTCGACTTTCTCTTTCGTTAATCACTTGGATACAGAACCGTTTCTTATCGTGTTTATCGTATTAGACGCCAGACAATAGTTTAATTCATAGATCTGTGTGCAGGATGCAAAGAGAAAGTCGACGAAGAGAATCTGTCAATGTTAGTTAGGACCTAATGCATTGATGTGATGTGATCCATTGACTCTGAATCCAATGCTTATCATCCTTTTAAAATTAAATCTCATTACGTTGCAACCTGAACCTGCACTGACCCTTCGAAGACCACTTAACATGTAAACGTTGAGAAAAATCATTATTCATAAATTCTTAATCAACATTTCAAAACGGAGAAACTGCTTTTGTAAGCAATGATTTAACCGTTGATTTCTCGCGAAAAAAAGTTCCCACGCACAAATTACATATACCACCAAGTAGAGGAATGTTCCTCTACCATTTGATACGGTTAGTTCGCAGGAGTGAGCGTTTATTTGCTAGAAATCGGCAGATGAAGTCATTGTTTACCAAAATAGTTTCGACCTAATGAAATGTTGGCATCAAATTATGTTTTAAGGTGAAGCTAGTTGTACATAAGATGGGATGATCGATTCTCTAAACCTCTCTAAAGGAATTCTTGTGGAATAACATGCATGTTTTTGAAGGCGCATTTAGTAGTAGGAGTTTTGGAATTAATTTCAAAAAGGCCATGAGGATTTGTCTGCTTGGATGTATTTTTTTTTTCTAAATCTACTAGAACGGGTTCACAACAAACAAGTTTATTAATAAACTTAGATTTTATTGTTGAATCAATATGGATGTGATATTTATAGATTATTTATTACTTTTCGTTGTGGCTGTGCTTATTAAAAAATATAACTTTATTTTCACTCATATATTATATATTCCAACACTAGCAGTGTTAGCATACTCAGCGTATACGTATAAAACAGACTCTCTTACATTCTAATGGGCAGTTTGAAAAACTGGTTATTAATGGTAAATAACATTTGCAAGCAGAACAAAACTCGTCGTCTACCGCTATGCCGATGTCGTCGCTAATATGGGTAGGGTAGCACTGTCCAAAACGCATTTCTGGGGTAAAATGGCCCCTAGTGATTTTTCATAGCATTCCCATCATCAATGCGTGGATTTGACGTGTAGCATGGTAATTCAGTACTTAAACTAGCTTTTCGGCACATAAACTACCAGAATCAGTAATGGGAAAGCACCGAAAAACTGCGTGGGGCAATTTTACCGCAGAGGTGCATTGTGGATTGTTCTCCCCCTAAAGATTACGAAACTGAAAAGCCGTTGACTCTTTTTCTTCAACGGTCGGGCGGAGAACCAGTTGAAGGTAAAAATGTTAATTTTATGGTACAAAACACGTTTTTGGCAACATTTATTCAAATCACCCGGTGTGCCTCGCATATACAGTGGTGACCTTTAAATTAGCACAATAGGTCGATTTTCATAAAAACTAGCCAACTTTGGCATGTTGCAACTATGTTTTGTTATGATCAATTGAGCTGAAATTTTGACACACATTATTGGAAGCGCTTGCCGGAAATTGACGAGCTGGTTGAAAATGGCCAACTAATTAGCACATTTATAATTCGAAATTTCCGAAGTATTATAGTTTTAAAATTTTCAACCATATTGCCAATAAATTACGGCGTACTTAAGATAGTTATTTACGGTATAGTCAAAAATTTCCCAAATAATAGACTTCGGAAATTTCGAATTATAAATGTGCTAATTAGTTGGTCATTTTCAACCAGCCCGTCAATTTCCGGCAAGCGCTTCCAACAATTTGTGTCAAAATTACAGCTCAATTGATCATAACAAAACATAGTTTCAACATGCCAAAGATGCAGGAAAAATTTTGCTTTGTTGTTGTGAATGGTTGATTATAATTTTGAAGATTTCCTGCAAAAAGGTGGAGAGCGATGCGAGTAGATGGCTGTAGATGCAAGAGATGTAAAAGATTTTTCATGAATTGATTCGCTAGTGTGAGATTTTTCGATCATTTAAAATCGAGATTTAGATTTGTCGCACCCCTCGGTCTATTGTGCTAATTTAAAGGCCACCACTGTAGATGCCGGAACGCCATTCCTAGCGGTTTTTACGATTCTACACAACTTTCACAATAACCACTTTCAATTGGGAGGGGAGGTCGATCAATCGATATTCAGTTTCCGGAAACTGCCCACCATTCCACTTTCGATTTCGCTCTCCTTGCCGCATCCTCCGCCCGCCGGATGGTTCTGGTTCCACAGGGCCGAGTACTTAGTGACGTCGATTTCCATCTCGTCGAGCAGGGCCAGGTCGGCTTCGGACTCACGTACCTGTTTGTGGAAGATATTCGAGAGCTCCATCGAGTCGTTGGTTCCGTTCAGGTCCGATGGTAGCAGCGACTTGTCCAGGTGCTTTTTGGCATCGATCAGGGTTCTGTGGAACTGGGGAGGGAGGCAGAAAAAGTCAATTAATCTTTTCTGTTGATCAAGTTGGTGTTTGCTTTATATTATAGCTTTGCAGGAAAAATGAATCATTAGCACCGGTGTGTCACCTGGGGCGATCTGTGTTTGACATAATAGTGAGAATTGGAATACTTAGACGCGATGGTCAGTCAGTTAGATTGTTTTGTCAAACTTAATCGGTTGTGGATTATTTGCTTTGGAAAGAAGGGCGGTTGAGTAATAGGCGTTAGAGAGGCCACCGGTATTGAATTATTTAGACTCACGCACAAAAAATGGCGTTGCAAAAACGGCAAGGCCTGATGGTTGTTTACCGAAGTGATATCTAAACTGAGCAGGAAATCAAACACTACAATTTTCTACTTCTATGAAGAATACAATCTGCATCTGAAGGCCTTTGATGGGTCAGAATATAAACATAGTCACTATATTAATAGTCTGGCGGATAGAATTACCAACCGGTGAACACTCGTGTTTATTTCAGTTACCGTGGGGACGTAATTTGTGATTAGCCCCGGTCCCTTTCAAATTGTTTCATTATTTATGTACGGTCCTTATATTTGAAATGACGTTTCATATTTATCTAGTGATGGCCGATTTTCATTCGAATAATCGATTAATCGATTAAGGAACCGAAAAGTAAAATATTTGTAATCGGCTATGTCATGCCGATATAAGCATTAACATCTCCAGAGGATCATCACCGATTGTTCCAAACATGTGCTGCACTCTCAATGGTGGAAAAATGGCAGCACAGCGAACAAAAAATAATCGATTAGTTGTAATCGAGTAATTAAAAAATGGGACATCTCTGATTTTGGTGTGATTGTTTTGATAAAAAAAAAGTGCGCACAATTGCATCTCTACCGAGGGGGCAACAAAACCAAAAAAATACCTTGCATACGGGGGGTATTCATTTGAAGAAAGGGACCGTGAAAAAGGACACTAAAATAGAAAGTTTTTCTTCCGACAGTTTCATCTTAGTATTCATCTTTGGAATTACGATCGATCAAAAAGCGGAGTCAATTTTTGCGACCATAGTCAGAAGTACCCAAGTAACCATCAAGCCCACTTATGCTAAAAGTGATATCTAAAGCTGATATAAGGCTAAAATGAAAATGTAAAACCGTATATCTGCATTATATTGCAAAAAGGGCCCTTATCGGGCTATTAACGGGCTTGAAGGTTACTTGGGTATAGTCATTGTACACGGTAAGGAAAAAGTACCCAAAATTTTACTCATCTCGGCACTAGTCAACCAGTCAGCACTCGTGTTTTTTTTAGTTACCGTTGGGGCGTCATTTATGATGATTCTCGGTCCCTTTCAATTTGTCTCATTATTTATGAACGACCCTATATTGGACATATAATTCAACAGAACCCCGTTAATATAAAAAACTAAAATGGCAACTAAACGGCGTTCATTTAGAGTTCGTTTAACTGGTAACCCTACATAGGCGCGTAACGTAATTGGATACCTGTATAGGGGTACCATTTAAGCAAATTCTGAATGAGCACCGTTTAATTTCAATTTAAGCTATTCAATCTAAAAGGGTTCTACCAACCGGTGGAAACTACCGATTTTTAATTGGCTCACACTGAACCTAGGGCTACAAAATGGTGAGTGACAATCTGGAAGGAGCGATATAAAGGGTGTCCACGATGAAATTGCCACACTATGAAATTGCTCTAACTTTTTAACCGTTGGGTAGAATTTAATGAAAATTTGGGTGGATTTAGTTCATAGTGCATTATTTACATCCTGCAAGTTTTAAAGTCCTGTGATCAAAACTCGCGGAAATGGAGTCGAAAGAACAGCTCGTGCGTGATAAAATCTTGCGCATTCATCACGAGAACAAGGATCTCTCGCATCGTTCCATCGCTAAAACGTTGGGAATCGCGAATTCCACGGTGTCGCGAGTGATTAAGCGGTTCGAGGAACGGTTGACCACCGATCGGAAGCCCAGAAGTGAAGGAAAAAGTATTCCGTACAACACCAAAAATCACAACCGCATAGTTGGGGCCTTCAACCAAAATCCGAACGCCTCCGTTAGGGATGTGGCTAAGAAGCTGCACCTAAGCCGAAGTTTTGTCCAGAAGGCCAAAACTAAGGCTGGGCTTCGAACGTTCAAGGTACAAAAGGCCCCTAATCGCGACGAGAAGCAGAACAAGTCCGCCAAAACCCGTGCCAGGAAGTTGTACCTCAACATGCTGACGAAAGTTGAATGCTGCATCATGGACGACGAAACATATGTGAAGGCCGACTTCAAACAGATCCCCGGCAACCTGTTTTTCACGGCCAAGGATAAGTTCAGCGTTCCGGAGCATGTCCGCACTCAGAAGATGTCCAAATTTGCGAAGAAATTCCTGGTTTGGCAAGCCATCTGCACGTGTGGGAAGCGGAGTGCACCTTTCGTGACCCAGGACACGATGAACGGACAGGTGTACATAAAAGAGTGCCTGCAGAAGCGGCTGCTTCCTCTCCTGAAGGCCCACAACGTCCCAACAATCTTCTGGCCGGATTTGGCCTCATGCCACTACTCCAAGGACGTGCTGAAGTGGTATGCGGACAATAAGGTCAATTTCGTGCCGAAAATGTTCAACCCTCCCAACACTCCGGAGCTCCGCCCCATCGAGAAGTACTGGGCGATTATGAAGCAGCACCTTCTTAAACGACCTAAGGTAGTGAAGACAGTCGAGGAACTGAAGAAAGTATGGGTTTACATGCAAAAAACGGTTGATTCACAGGTTGTGCAGAATCTTATGGTCGGGGTTAAGGCCAAGGTGCGGGTATTTGCGTATGGACTGTAAATAAAATACGAGTAAAATGGTAAAATGAAGTTTAATAGTTATTTCTCAATCCCTGAAAATTTGATGGCAATCGGATGAAAACTCGAATTTTGCGAATCAATTTTGTGTGTGGCAATTTCATCGTGGACACCCTTTACCTAGCTCCGGTCTTCACAGGAACTCACGCCTCCACGAGTCATATGATCACAAAAGACTGCCAGCTGAAACATGGACACAGCTCGTTGGCGTAGCCTGGGCAATGTTGTCAATCCGACAATAGCAGAGTGAGGAGGTGCGACGCGAACACTGGCGCGGTAACCATAGCACGGTGATAGAGGAAATGCTTCGCCAACCCGAGCATCCAGCGGCTGAATAAGAAATGCTCTTCCCTGGAAGCTACACCTAAGATGGCAGCCACATCACGGCGGATAGGAGACCTGTCTCTGAAACCTTTACAATTGTTACAGAAACCATCAGAGAAAGAGCTGATTTAACGGCAACGATTTTTAGAGCAAAACAACGGACACGAATTGGATCATGGAATGTATTGACGTTATCCCAGCAGGGTAAACTGGCACAACTCACCAACGAGGCGCGACGCATGCAGCTATAAATCCTGGGACTGAGTGAAGTTCGTTGGCCAAACTTTGGAGAACACAAACTGCCGTCGGGACAGGTACTACTATACTCTGGTATTCGAGGTGAAAACGCTCCCCGCCTTCGTGGAGTTGGTCTCCTACTTAGCGTCCAGGCAAGTGCTGCGCTCATCAAGTGGGAGCCTGTTAATGAGGGGATAATCGTTGCCAGATTTAGACGTTCCAGAAGGTGGCAGCGTAGAAGAACAATGGACGGCCATCAAGATTGCCTTTATAGAAACAAGCGAGAACAACTTGGGTGAGCTGCGCACCCAGAGGAAAGAGTGGATCACAGATTAAACCTGGCGGAAGATTGAGGAGCGTAGAGAAGCAAAAGCCGCGATAGAGTGGGCGAGAACCAGATTAGCCAAGAACGAAGCCCGTCAACGGTACTCGGCTCTAGATAAGGAAGTCAAGCGCTCTTGCAGACGGGACAAGTGAGCGTGGGTGAACTCCCTGGCCGACGAAGGGGAAAAATCCGCAAACACTGGCGATATACGTCTCCTCTACGATATCTCACGACGCCTGAGTGGAGCAGGATGAACCCGAAGATGCCAGTGAAGGACACGACTGGACAATTGATTACCGACCCCACTGACCAGCTGAAACGCTGGTTTGAGCACTTTGAACAACTTCTCGAAGTTTCAGCGGTCAACAAACCATCAACATCTCGGCATGATCCGCCAAGGGTTAGGCGCGTTACTCGCGTCAACACTGAAGCTCCATCGTTGCAGGAGATAGAAGCAGCCATCCGAAGTATGAAGTCCAACAAAGCCCCGGGGTTCGACCGCATATCAGCAGAGATGCTCAAAGCTTACCCCATGCTATCCGCACAAATGTTGCGTCAATTATTCTGTAATATCTGGGACACCACGACTTTTCCGGCCGACTGGATGCAGGGCATCTTAGTGAAGGTCCCAAAGAAGGGGGATCTAACTGTGTGCGACAATTGGCGAGGCATCATGTTACTGTGTATTGTTCTCAATGTTCTGTGCAAAGTTATCCTGAATCGGATACAGGAAAAGATCGACGCGACTCTCCGACGGCAGCAGACAGGATTCCGTGCCGGAAGATCTTGTGTGGACCATATTGTCACGCTCCGCATCATCCTGGAGCAGGTCAATGAATTCCAAGAGTCCCTTTATTTGGTATTCATTGACTACGAAAAAGCTTTCGACCGTCTCAATCACGAGAATCTGTGGGGCGCCCTGAGACGCAAGGGAGTCCCGGATAAAATCGTCAACCTCACCGAAGCGCAGTATGAGGCTTTCACGTGCAGAGTTCTGCATAACGGAGCCTTGTCCGACCCTATCCGGGTAGTCGCTGGTGTGAGACAAGGATGTATACTATCACCGCTACTGTTTCTCATCGTAATCGACGAGATCATGGTAGGTGCAATTGACCGTGTACTGAACCGTGGGCTGCTTTGGCAGCCTATCACCATGGAGCATCTCAACGACTTCGATTTGGCTGATGATGTTGCTCTACTAGCACAACGGCGCTCTGATATGCAGAGTAAGCTCAATGACCTAGCCGAACGCTCCTCTGCGGCGGGTC